CCCGCCAGGTGTCACTGTCCCCCCCAGGTGTCACTGTCCCTCTCCAGGTGTCACTGTCCCCCCCAGGTGTCACTGTCGCCCCCAGGTGTCACTGTCCCCGCTGTCCCCGCAGGTGATCCGGCTGCGCGCCGCCTTTGCCCAGGGCCCCGCGGTGGTTCTGGCCCTGGAGCTGCTGGTGGGGGACCTGGGGGGGCTCCTGCGCGCGGCCCCCGCCCCGCTGCCCCCGGCGCGCGTCAGGGCCCTGCTGGCCATGACCCTGCGGGGGCTGGGCCACGTGCACGGGCAGCACCTGCTGCACCGGGTGAGGCACCCCGAAACGGGACAGGGACCCCAAAAACGGGAATGGGAACCCCAAAAATGGGATAGGGGCTGGGCCACATGCATGGCCAGCACCTGCTGCACTGGGTGAGCCCCAAAATGGGGGGGACCCCAAAAACATGAGGAGACATCGGGAATGGGGAGACTCCAGCACGGCCTGGTGTGCTGGGTGAGGGACCCCGAAGTAAGGGGGGAGCCCTGAAACTGGAGGGGGACCCTGGGACTGGAGGGAGGCATCTCCCACCCCACATGAGCACCCCAAAACTGGGTGGGGGACCCCAAAATCGAGGCGGGGGGAGGTTCAGACAGCTGCAGGACACCCCAAAACCGGGGTGGGCACATGGAGGGACCCCAATATCTGTAGGGGGCCGCAGGTGTTGGGGCGCCCCAAAATCAAGAGGAGCACCCCAATGGCTGGGTGGGGACCCACAGTCTGGAGGTATTCCTGGTCTGGGGAGCACTGGGGGGGTTCCCCGAGTGTTGGGGACCCCTCCTGAGGCCATTTTTGGGGTGCAGGACCTCAAACCGGCCAATCTGCTGCTGGACAGCGCCGGCCGCCTCAAGCTGGCGGATTTCGGGCTGGCGCGGGTGCTGGGCCCCCCCTCGGGGCGCCCCTACAGCCACCAGGTGGCCACCAGGTACCAGATTTTGGGTTGTCCTCCCCACCCCGGGGTGCCAGGGTGTCCCCCCAAAAGCAGAGGCCCCCCCTGACCCCCCTGTTGCAGGTGGTACCGAGCCCCCGAGCTGCTCTACGGCGCCCGGCACTACGACGAGGGCGTGGATTTGTGGTGAGTGCCCGCTTTTGGGGGGCTCCCCCCGGGACTTTGGGGGTCACCTGGGATTTTTGGGGTCCTTACCAGGGTCTTAGGGTTCACTCTAACCCCTTGCCCAGCCCTGCGTGGTTTGGGGTCCCCACTTTGGGTTTTGTAGATCCCCCTCGTTCCCCCACCCTGTAATTCTGGGTCTGCCTTTGGTGCTTCGGTGTCCCCCTGGGATTTTGGGGGATCCCCCTCGGATTTTGGGGATCCCCTGGGATTTTGGGTGGATCTCCCTGGGACTTCGGGAATCCCCTGTGATTTTGGGGTGTCCTAGGATTTGGGGGTGGGTCCCCGTGGGTTTTGGGGTCCCTGCTGTTAGATGCCAGGTGTTCCCCATTTCTAGGTTCCTCCCTGGAATTTTTAGGGCCCTCCCCTGGATTTGGGGGGTCTCTCTGGGATTTCGGGGATCTCTCTGGGATTTTTGGGATGTTCCCCTTGGATTTCCGGGATTCCCTGGGATTGGAGGGATCCCTGTGGGATTTCGGGGGTCCCTGTGGGATTTTGGGGGTCCCCTGAGATCAGAGTGGTCCCTGTTGGGTTTTGGGGGTCCCTGTTGGATTTTGGGGTTCTCTGCGGGATTTTGGGGGTCCCTGTGGAATTTGGGGGTCCCCCTGAGCGCGGTCCCCCCAGGGCCGTGGGCTGCATTTTCGGGGAGCTGCTGACGCTGTCGCCGCTGTTCCCGGGGGAGAACGACATCGAGCAGCTGTGCTGCGTGCTCAGGGCGCTGGGCACGCCCAGCCCGCGCGACTGGCCGGTACTGGGGGCACTGGGAGAGGGACTGGGGGCACTGGGAGCCACTGGGAGGGACTGGGGGCACTGGGAGCCACTGGGAGAGGGACTGGGGGCACTGGGAGGGACTGGGGGCACTGGCTGGTACTGGGAGAGGGACTGGGAGGGACTGGGGGCACTGGGAGGGACCAGGAGAGGGACTGGGGCACTGGAAGAGGGACTGGGAGGGACTGGGAGTGGGGCAGGAGGACACTGGGAGCGCTGGGAGGCACTGGGAGTGCTGGGACAGGGCAGGAGGGCACTGAGTGGCACTGGGCGTACTGGGGGGCACTGGGACAGGGCAGGAGGGCACTGGGAGTGCTGGGAGCCACTGGGAGGGACTGGTCCACGCTAGTTTATACTGGTCTGTGCTGGTTTACGCTGGTTCATGGTGGTTTGTACTGGTGTGTGCTGGTCTGTGCTGGTTTATACTGGTGCGTACTGGTCCGCACTAGTTTGTACTGGTCTGTACCGGTTTATGTCAGCCCACCATTGTGTGTGCTGTTATATGTGGGGCGTACTGGTCTGGGCTCATTTATACTGGTCTGTATTGGTTGGTCCCACTTTTTACTGGTCTGTAGTAGTTTATACTGGTTTATATTGACCTATGCTGGTCCATGCTGGTCTGCACTGATTTATGCTAGTTTGTACTGGTTTGTATTGGTTTACACTGGCCCATAGTGGTTTGCACTGGTTTATAGTGGTCCATACTGCTTTACACTGGCCCACACTGACGTGCACTGGTTTACACTGGCCCTTACTGGTCTTCATGGGTTTACACTGGTCCGTACTGGCCCACAATGGTCTGTACTGGTCTGTACTGGCCCTCACTGGTCCATACTGCCCCCCACTGGTTCGTGCTGGTCCATACTGGCCCACACTGGTCCATACTGGTCTATACTGGTCCCTAATGGACCATACTGATTTGTGCTGGTCCATACTGGTCCACACTGGTCCATACTGATGCATACTGGTCTATATTGGCCCATACTGACCTGCACTGGTCCATACTGGTTTGTGCTGGTCCGTACTGGTCGGTACTGGTCGGTACTGGTCGCTGTCCCCGCAGGAGCTGTCGGAGCTGCCGGATTTCCCCAAGCTGCGGTTCCGGCCGCGGGCAGCGCCGCCGCTGCAGCTGCTGGTGCCGGGCGCGGAGCCGGCTGCGCTGGACCTGCTGCGGCGGCTGCTGCGCTACCGGGCACAGCTGCGCCCGCGGGCACACCAGGTACGGGGGACTGGCGGAACTGGGGAATGGGGGGACTGGGGGAACTGTGGGGAAAATGGGATACCCCAGATTGGCCACCCCCTCCCCCCCCCAGGCCCTGCTGCACCCCTTCTTCTTCGGGCCCCAGGAGCTGACCCCACCCCCGCCCCCGGGGGGGTCCCGGCAGCCCCCCGACTTCAGCCTGGACACGGCGCTGGAGCTGCCCCCCCGCGGGGCCCTGGGACCCCTCCCCAGCCTGGGGGACCCCCACTGACCCCCACAGGGGCACTGAGACCCCTCCCCAGTCCTGGGGACCCCCACTGACCACCCCGTGGGCCCTGAGACCCCTCCCCAGCCTGGGGGACCCCCACTGACCCCCACAGGGGCACTGAGACCCCTGCCCAGCCTGGGGAACCCCTGAGACCCCTCCCCAGCCTGGGGGACCCCCACTGGCCCTCCCAAACTGGGGACCCCCTGACGGATGCCTCCTGACCCTCCTCGGCCTGGAAGACCCCCACTGCCCCCTCATGGGGCTGGGGGACCCCACCCCAAACTTGGGGACCCTTGGGAGACCCCCACTGCCCCCCCATTATTGACCCCTCCCCATTTTGGGGGACCCCGAGGACTCCCCGGGGGCTCTGGGACCCCTCCCCACCCTGGACTCCCCCAAGGGACCCCCCCAGATTTCCCCCCGGATTTGGGGGGCCCACAGACCCACCCCCCGAGCCCCAAAACAGCGCCCCCAGGAGCAACAAAATCGGGGAAAATCTGACCCAAGCCCCTCGGATTTGGGGTGAAAACGTCGGATTTGGGGTGAAAATGTCGGATTTGGGGCTGGAAGCTCAGCAGGAGATGAAAACTGCCCGGGTGGGACCCAAAACCCCCAGATCTGAGCCCAAATCTCAGGTGAGAGGGAAAAAAATCCTCATTTTGGGGGTTGGAAACGTGGGGCTGAAAGTCTTCAGTTTTAGGGTGAAAATCCCTGAGTTTTGTAAAAAAATCCCCAATTTGAGGCTGCAAATCTCCAGTTTTAGAGGAAAAATTTTCAGTTTTACCTCAGTAACCTCAAATTTAGATTTAACCTCCCAATTTTGGGTTAGAACTGCTAACTTTGGGTGAATTTTGGGTTGAAATTGGTAATTTTGAGGTGAAACATCCCATTCTGGGGGTTGGTAATAGAAATTCCAGGCTGAAAATTCCAATTTTGGGCTGAAAACCTCCAGTTTTGGGGCTGAAAATGCCAAATTTGGAATAAAAAGACTGACTTTGGTGCCAAAAATGAGAATTTTGGACCAAAAAAATCTCCAAGTTTTGTTATTGGGGTCAAAATTCTCAGTTTGGTGTCTGAAAGCCCCAAGCTGGGAGTGAATTTGCAATTTTGGGTAAAACTGCCTCATTTCAGGGTAAAACCACCCAGCTTTGGGACTCAGCTCCATTGCTCCTCAAAACCCAATTTTATGTCCTATAAATGCAAAATTTGGGGCTCAAATTCCTTTGGTTTGTTGCCAAAAAATGAAATTAGGACTGAAAAATCCCCATTTTGATGCTAACATGGTGAATTTCAGGCTGAAAATCCCAAATTTTGCCTGAAAATGATGAATTTTACCCAAAAACCTCAAATTTTGGGCTGAAACCTCTGAACTTTGGTCCAAAGATCTCAAATTTTAGGTTGAAAACCCTGAATTTTACCCTGAAATTCAAAATTTGTTGCTCCTCACTCGGGTTTTTTCTCTAAAATGCTCTTTTTTGGGTATACTAAGGCCTAAAAATATTCAATTTGGGGCTTCAAATCCCTGTTCTGCTGCCGAAAAAAGTGACCTTGAAGCAAGAAATCCCCAATTTTTACTTCAGAGCCTAAAATCTCTTGCTGAAAACCCTGACTTTTGGTCAAAACTGACAAATTTTAGGCTCCAATTCTTTTTTTTTTTCCTTGAAACCTCAAATTTTGGGGCTCAAAATGCCAAATTCACTGTTCAAACCTCCAATTTTTTTCAAAAACCAAAATATTTCAGGCTGAAAATTGCAAATTCTGAGCTGAAAACTTCAAATTTGAAGCTGAAAGCCCTGAAATTTTGGGTAAAAGCCCTGGATTTGGGGTGTCAGCCCCAATTTTGGCCCCAAACCCCTGAGTTTGGGGTGTCAGGCCCGGAATTTGGGGTGTCAGGCCCTCATTTTGGGCCAAAAGCCCTGAATTTGGGGTGTCAGCGGGGAATTTGGGGTGTCACTCCCAACTTTGGGGTGTCATTCCCGGCTTTGGGGTGTCAGTCTGGAATTTGGGGGTCAGTCCCCAGTTTTGGGTTGAAAACTCCGAATTTGGGGTGTCACTGTGGAATTTGGGGTGTCCCTCCCGGTTTTGGGGTGTCTCTCTGCATTTTGGGGTGTCCCTCCTGGTTTTGGGGTGCCATTCCCCATTTTGGGGTGTCCATCTCGGTTTTGGGGTGCCAGTGTGGAATTTTGGGGTGTGTCTCCCGGTTTTGTGTTGTCTCTCTCCGTTTTGGGGTGTCTCTTCCAGTTTTGGGGTTTCTCTCCCCATTTTGAGGTGTCCATCCCGGTTTTGGGGTGTCACTGTGGAATTTGGGGTGTTTCCATTTTGGGGTGCCATTCCCCGTTTTGGGGTGTCTCTCCCGGCTTTGGGGTGTCTTTTCCCGTTTTGAGGTGTCTCTCCCCGTTTTAGGGTGCCATTCCCCATTTTGGGGTGTCCCTCCCGGTTTTGGGGTGTCTCTCCCGGTTTTGGGGTGTCTCCCCCAGTTTTGGGGTGTCTCTCCCCATGTTGGGGTGTCCCTCCCGGTTTTGGGGTGTCTCTCCGTTTCGGGGCGCGCTGGCCTGCAGGCCCTGCCCCCGCTCTGGCCGGGGCTGATAAAGGGCCGCGGCCCCGCCCGGCCCCCCCAAACTTAGATTTAACCTCCCAATTTTGGGTTAGAACTGCTAACTTTGGGTGAATTTTGGGTTGAAATTGGTAATTTTGAGGTGAAACATCCCATTCTGGGGGTTGGTAATAGAAATTCCAGGCTGAAAATTCCAATTTTGGGCTGAAAACCTCCAGTTTTGGGGCTGAAAATGCCAAATTTGGAATAAAAAGACTGACTTTGGTGCCAAAAATGAGAATTTTGGACCAAAAAAATCTCCAAGTTTTGTTATTGGGGTCAAAATTCTCAGTTTGGTGTCTGAAAGCCCCAAGCTGGGAGTGAATTTGCAATTTTGGGTAAAACTGCCTCATTTCAGGGTAAAACCACCCAGCTTTGGGACTCAGCTCCATTGCTCCTCAAAACCCAATTTTATGTCCTATAAATGCAAAATTTGGGGCTCAAATTCCTTTGGTTTGTTGCCAAAAAATGAAATTAGGACTGAAAAATCCCCATTTTGATGCTAACATGGTGAATTTCAGGCTGAAAATCCCAAATTTTGCCTGAAAATGATGAATTTTACCCAAAAACCTCAAATTTTGGGCTGAAACCTCTGAACTTTGGTCCAAAGATCTCAAATTTTAGGTTGAAAACCCTGAATTTTACCCTGAAATTCAAAATTTGTTGCTCCTCACTCGGGTTTTTTCTCTAAAATGCTCTTTTTTGGGTATACTAAGGCCTAAAAATATTCAATTTGGGGCTTCAAATCCCTGTTCTGCTGCCGAAAAAAGTGACCTTGAAGCAAGAAATCCCCAATTTTTACTTCAGAGCCTAAAATCTCTTGCTGAAAACCCTGACTTTTGGTCAAAACTGACAAATTTTAGGCTCCAATTCTTTTTTTTTTTCCTTGAAACCTCAAATTTTGGGGCTCAAAATGCCAAATTCACTGTTCAAACCTCCAATTTTTTTCAAAAACCAAAATATTTCAGGCTGAAAATTGCAAATTCTGAGCTGAAAACTTCAAATTTGAAGCTGAAAGCCCTGAAATTTTGGGTAAAAGCCCTGGATTTGGGGTGTCAGCCCCAATTTTGGCCCCAAACCCCTGAGTTTGGGGTGTCAGGCCCGGAATTTGGGGTGTCAGGCCCTCATTTTGGGCCAAAAGCCCTGAATTTGGGGTGTCAGCGGGGAATTTGGGGTGTCACTCCCAACTTTGGGGTGTCATTCCCGGCTTTGGGGTGTCAGTCTGGAATTTGGGGGTCAGTCCCCAGTTTTGGGTTGAAAACTCCGAATTTGGGGTGTCACTGTGGAATTTGGGGTGTCCCTCCCGGTTTTGGGGTGTCTCTCTGCATGTTGGGGTGTCCCTCCTGGTTTTGGCGACCCCATTTTGGGGTGTCCATCTCGGTTTTGGGGTGCCAGTGTGGAATTTTGGGGTGTGTCTCCCGGTTTTGTGTTGTCTCTCTCCGTTTTGGGGTGTCTCTTCCAGTTTTGGGGTTTCTCTCCCCATTTTGAGGTGTCCATCCCGGTTTTGGGGTGTCACTGTGGAATTTGGGGTGTTTCCATTTTGGGGTGCCATTCCCCGTTTTGGGGTGTCTCTCCCGGCTTTGGGGTGTCTTTTCCCGTTTTGAGGTGTCTCTCCCCGTTTTAGGGTGCCATTCCCCATTTTGGGGTGTCCCTCCCGGTTTTGGGGTGTCTCTCCCGGTTTTGGGGTGTCTCCCCCAGTTTTGGGGTGTCTCTCCCCATGTTGGGGTGTCCCTCCCGGTTTTGGGGTGTCTCTCCGTTTCGGGGCGCGCTGGCCTGCAGGCCCTGCCCCCGCTCTGGCCGGGGCTGATAAAGGGCCGCGGCCCCGCCCGGCCCCCCCAAACCAACCGCCGGGGCCCCAGAATCTGATAAGGCCTTATCAGCGCCGGGCAGCCCCGGCCGTTACCGCCCCCGGCCCCGAGCGCCCCAAAACCCCGGAGCGCCCCAAAATCCCCCAAAGGCCCAGGCCCTGCAGTCCCACGGCGCCAGGTGAGCTCTGCTCCCCCAA